AATCATATATTAATATAAAATAAAGGAACGAGGAAATGACCTCTTTTAAAAAAAAAAAAAAAAAAAAAAAAAAAAAAAACAATTAATCGATTAATCGATTAGTTGCAACTAGTTTGTCAACTAAAAAATTATCCTCAACTAATCGATTGGAAAATTTTGGGCGATTTGTAACACTAAAGTAAGAATCAAAAATATAAAAAGTCTGAATCTCCACTCACCTCTTATTGATTTTGATTTGCTTCAAAACCATTAAAGAGGATTGTATCTAAACTTACATGAAAAGAGGTATACGCATTACTTTGTGTGCTTCCATATGTAAGTTTGACTCTACATCAGAGAACGAAAATCTCGTATAATGATTTTAGTAATTCAAGAGAGATTTCAAATTAGCGTTATACGTATTATATATATATTATACGTTATTTAAAGTTCTTGGTTGTTGATTTATTTTAATAACAAATTTTAACGGCTGTGATTTATCATAACAATATGTTTATATGTAGCTAAAAATCATGTGAAAAGCATGTTGAAAATAGGTACTTCCTAATTTTATGATAATTATACTGTATAAACCCACTTATTAAAGAACAATCTTTTAAAATTTAAATTAGTTCAAAATACTGCAATTGGTTTTTATATATTATATATAATTTTATTCTGTATATCTATCTATACTAAAGAAGATCCATTTGACTAGTCAACTACTGTATATACAGTATATAATGGAGTTATGTAATTAAAAAGGCAAGTTAAAACCTCAAACAATACAAATAGATGTTATACTGTATTGCTGAATTATTCCAGTATTCGTTTTTTTGCAACTCTGATTAGTTAAAATAAGGCTTGACCAATTGCAATTTGCATACCCTGAACTATTGACTCGACTCTGCCTCGCTTTAAGAAACCCTCTAATTTGGTATATTCACTGACTTAAACATAATGAACCTTACTTTCTATTAATAATATTTTAAATATTGTATATACTATAGTAATTACAGTATTCTACTTTTGTCATATACAACGCATCACTGCGTTTGACTTATATATTATTAAACAATACACTAATAATAATTATCAACGCCAGACGATCTAACTCTTAAACTTATAAATTACGATAATGATACGATAGTATATACTGTAGTAATAAACAATAGTATATACTGTAGTAATAAACAATAGTTCTAAGTGAAAATCACCGAGTTTTATCTCTAAAGTTGTACGCGCTATGTATTAAAAATTTTTTTAATTTAAATAATGAAACGTTTAAATACCTAAAAAGTATAAAATTAGATGATTTAATCAATTAGAATAAATTAGTCGATCAAACGAAAGTTCTCCTATATATAACTGTATATATATATATATACAGAATAAGTATATAAATCTTACCTAAATGATCTAGCTAAAATAATGTTTAATTTTAACAGTTTAAGCCGAGTATTTAAAACAATTGAGATCTGAACTGTTTCTAATTGAGACACAGGTTTGTTTAAAACAAAAAAAAACTTAAAATATAATTAGTTTGATTAAATAATGTATTTTGTACCAATCAAATGTTAATGTCTATTAAATATATATTATCGTTATTAAAATGAATATTAAAAAGATTAAACGATCATATGTATGTGTCTACATACATACGCACAGTACGTACAGTACGTACAGTATCTCAAATAAGTCTAAATTTTATTACTTATAGTAAAAAAAATATAAATTTAAAAAATTTAAGAAAATGTAAATTATTATCTCGAGGAATTTTCTTATTATACAGTATACGTACGTATTAAATTTATACATATCTGATATAACAAAAGGCTATTCAAAAATTCGAATACATTTAACAGGTGTGTTGTACAAGGTATCTGATTAGTTCGAATGAAAAAAATTATTTGTTAAGTCGAGCTTTTCATTATTCTATGTTGTACGTAGGTACATTAATAATTGTAGAATGGAGGTTCAAGATTTTCTAATATTTGTTTTTTTTCATTGACACATAAGTTGACATGTTAATCATTTAATATCTTGAATGCATATATATATAAAAAGTCGACCAATTATTAATTGACAGATTCGCATTCAATTATTGAACCTTTTATGATTGATATTAGAAAGAAAAAATTATCTTTATAAAAAGTTCTAGATTTTCAAATATACCGATACAGAATGATGGGGTAAAAAATGCGGTTTGAAATGTAATGATACCAAACACAAAATTACAGAAAAAGACTAGTACATATGTATGTATGTGTATTTACATTTTGTTAATTATTTCTATTTTGAAATTTCATGCTTTTATTAATGAATGAAATACCTTTTCTAATGTAAGAAACAAAAATTGACAATCCATCATTCCATTTGACGGCATTATGCATAGCATAGCATTGTAATATAAAATGGGAATAAAATGATAAATTTTTATTCATTAAAAATATCGATATTTATATAAAATATAAATTATAATTAATAATTACTACGTAGTTCTAACATTCTAAATTTCGATATAAAGAAATTAAACGAATTTTCTTGCTGATCTATTACTATATGCTTTAAAAACCGAGTATATGTTAGTAAACGAACTTATTATCATTAAATTTTACCGCAATTAAAAATATAGATCACCGCAGTAAATTCTGGGATATATAATATGTAATTACAAACTTTATTATGTAAGAGAGCATACAGTAAACAGTAAAACAGTACAACAGTACAGCAGTACAGCAGTAAAAGGGGTTCACAAGATCAAGTAAGTAAATAATGGGAATTTTATAAAAAAATCATTCAAGTTACAATAAAAAAAACAAATAGACAAAATGAAAATAACGTAAAGTATTAACATGAAATAATGGAGTATTCACAGTATAACAGTAATAGTGGCACAGCATCAATAAAATAATAATAATATTTTAATCAAAATACCATTAAATAATCACTTATCACTCAACTTTATTCTCCGTTTTTTTTTTAAAATTCCTAAAAAGTAAAAGAGACCACCCCAAACTTGTTTCATCCAAATAGAGATAAACTCGCAGTTTTCCAATAAATTTTTATATTATATAAAAAATGCCGCATCATATTAAATTTGAGAGAACTGAGTCGTAATCATTTGGTAATCACGATCTTATGATTAAAAAAATGCATTATCATGATTTTCAATACTTTGAAGCAAGATAATCAAATTTGAATAACTAAATCATCCAATGTCATAACAATTTTATTAGTATTAGTGATACAAAAAAAAAACGTACGTACGTAAGTATATAAAGATAAAAAAAAAAAAAAAAAAATTCTGATCGAAACTTACGAATTTCGAATGTGCGGGGGAATATTTGTATGATGAGGCTGTGAATATTTTGATGCTAAAAAAAAATTAGTAAAGAGGAAAAAACCTGGTTGTAAGATAAATTATAACCGGACATTGACCTAATGTGGGTCAAATGTTGATACTTGCTAGTTTTATTGTGAAAAAGTCATATGAAAGATTGCAACAATCACGAGTAACCGAAAAGTTAAAGCAATAAAAATTTATATTATATGAGTATAGTCAATTATATACAATGTATGGTATATATATATATATATATTATATTGGATGGTTTATGCAGCCGAAAGTGTTCTATAATGTTGTTCTATTATTTTGATAGAACCTCTTAAAATGAACTTAACATGCATATGAACATCTAAATATTTAATTCACGGAGAACTTGAGAGAATTTATAACGTGAAATTAAAGAACATTTCACGGATGATTCTTTAATAAAAAAAAACCTACTTTCACTTTAAACATTTCATAATGTATAACAATTTCCTTTAACAAAATATCTATTCCTGATAATCCTAAACCTAATATACGTAGTACTAAAATGAATTTTTTTTGTTTTTTTTTTTTTTTTTTAATGACGAAACTATCTAACAATATATTGAAAAAAGAAAAGCTAACATGATTTTTAGTGTATAAAAATATGTACAAAAGAAAAAAAAAAAAAAAAAGAGGTCAAATGTTGTTTGGATGTAAAGATATTAAGAATTATAATAAAAAACTTTTGGGGTAATAAAATATATAAATGTTCTTTTTTTTATGTTCGTTCAAAGAAAAAAACAAACCAACCAAATAAAATATATAATAAATATAAAAAGAATATAAGTAAATAAAAAAAAATAATAATACTATACTAAAACTAAACTATAATAATATATATAATAATATAAAAAAAAAAGAGATGTTTTTTAAAATCTAAGAAAAGATTTTAAGTGATTTTCGCCCAGAATGCTAAAAACTTTTAGGGTAGAAATCTTTTTACCCACCAAAACTATCATATCGGCAGATAAACCCCAATAAGCTTTTAATTTCCAACGCCACATTGCTTCTTTTGCTTTAACCTCTTGTTCAGATCTAGGTCTAGGATAATGAGCACTCCATTCAGCCCATGATTCGGAAACTAAATGTAATTCCTGTAAGTTTTGACGTTGATATAAAGGAATAACAATATCTTGAAGTACTGTTTGTGATAAATGATCCAAGTCTAGGACGAGCGAAACCAATGTTTTATTACAAATTGATAATAGTGATAAGAGGCCTTTAGTGGTAAAGTTTTGATGACACGCTTTACCCAACCGAAGATGTTCAAGTTGACTTGAAGGTAAATCTTCAACAGCGAAATCTGAATCATTAAGGTTTACACCTTCTAATGACATTCGCCTTATATTCGGACAATGTTCAAGAACTGCAAGGACTGATTTACTTGTTAGAGATACAGGATTCATTCCACCAAAACCAATTGAAAATTCCACTAAATCATTTTTAAGGTTCGGTATAACATAATCTAATATTCCATCATCGGTAAAGTGAGAACCATTTATCGACAAACTTTTTAAATGTGAATTCTTTGTAATAATTTCGAGCAATTCATCATTGAACGTATAATGATCCGAATCTATAATTAATTTGTCTAAATCTTTCTTACAAATTAAATCTGCCACTTGTTCAGTGGTCGCTTCTTTGCCAACATGACAAACATGACAAAAGGATAATCTATCTTCAATATGTAAACTCGTTATATTTGGAAGAACACTTTGAACCAATTCTAATGTTGTTAATAAACCACCAGATTTCATGTTAGATATAGAAATAGGACAAATAGTAACACTTTTTACCATAGTTCTATAATTAAACATAAGTTCTGAAGGTGGTGTTTGTAATATGCTGAATATGTTACGTTGCGTTGGTTCTTTAAGATATAAATGCGACCAGACATAAGGTATTGCTGCTTTGGCAAATAAATGATTGACAAATATAAGATTAGAACCATGGACTTTTGAATCTTGATGTTTTATCAAGAACGATAAAATATTTGCAATCAGGTCAAAAGGAAGTTTTATCAGAGGAAAAGTCGTTTCTATTGCATGAAGTTGCATTTTGTCAATATTGACGAGAAAAAGAGAGAGAAAAAAATTGTGTAAATGATGAGATATATGTGTATATATATATATATCTACTGTATATTGAGTGACTATTTTTTTTTTTTTTTTTTTTTTTTTTTTTTTTTTTATTTAAAGAATCCGATAGTATCTTAAAAAAGTATAATGAAAAAAAGTATCCTGAGAATTTTGAAAATAATCTTGAAAGTATCTGTGAAAATATCTGTGAAAGTAGGAAAAAAAAATATTTCGAGACAGTTACAGGAGAAAGAAGAACATTACAAAATAATCTTACACCATATATATATTATTTATTTATTTATTTATTTATTTATTTTATATATTTATATATCCGAATAACCCTTTTTTTTAAAAAAAAAATTCTCAAAAGTAATTTACAAAAAGTAAATCATATTGTAAAAAATTTATTTTAAAAATTTTATTGATAAAATATGTGAAATAATCACAAAAACTTGTTTTTATTTGTGATAAATTCGTAAAATATCCCATGATAATTCTTTTCCCCCAACCAAAAAAAATGAATGTAGAAAATGATACGTTAAAAAAAGTTGAAATACAATCAACATTGGGGTAAATGTTACATTAATGATAAACATGACTCCCCGATTTCAAAAATTTATACAAGTAACACATTATAAATGCAACATCTTTTGACGCATAACAGCAATTATGTGATTAGCACAACTTCTATTATTAATGATACACGGAGCATTTTGTAAACACGCGAAATAAACAAAGGTTTAAGATATCATAATAACTTTGGAATCCTGTTCACTTCTCGTATCATTTCGCATGCATTCGATTCAGTACAGCCCCGAACAACTATTGTTTTCGTGTGGTTTGAAAAAAAAGATTTTTAATTGTTTTTTTTTTTTGATTGTTCTTTTGTATCGTTTTACCCAAAAGAAATGTCTTCCCTTTTACTTACTTTAAGTGTCGAACCGTATCATTCTAAATATAGTTATATTAAATTTGTCCATTATTCGTCCTATTTTTCTTCATTTTTGCTTTTTGATGAATGATGTATACACTATGCTAATATCTGTTAGTATTTTTCATATATATATATATATATATACTGATAAATATACTGATAAATATACTGATATATATACTGATATATATATTTATAATTAATATTTAGTTACGTAATCATATTTTACATTATTATAACATTTATATATATATATATTATTATTATAATATTATTATATACAGTATCTTTTTCTCTATCGCTATACCAAATTGAACTTTGTCAATCCTTCCAAGAGAATTTATTAAAGGATCGTTCTTTGACAGTAATAAATTATTTTTGGGGCCTATGCTTTGCATTTTTTTGTCCAACTAATCATTCGTCTTGCACAATATATTTTTTGTGTGACCGCTGTTCTCCGAAACACAAATGTGACATATCAAAAAATTATTATAGCAAGTGATTTGTGATAAACTTTATTATGCGTAAATGCGCTAGTGCTGTAGTGTGTAAATGCATTTATAATACTTATAAAATAGACTTTTCCGACCTATGCATTTCTCTGCTTCCGACCTCAAGATTTTTTCAAAATTAGTCAAAGTTCCCATATTTTTCGCGACACAACTTTTGCAGGATACATATAAGAAATGAAAATTTTAACACCCTTTAGGATCAATTACATTGCCACGACAACAATTACCTTCTAAATCTATATTTTTTTTTTTTAAAAAAAAAAAAAAGGGCGTAAACCCGATCCCTTTTGCAAACTTTTTACATCTTGATCTCTTTACTATGAACGCGCATAACCACGATAGGAGAACGATAGAAAGAGAAAAAAAAACATTAAAGCAAGATCATTGGAAAAAGAAATGGGTTCCCCAAGAAAATGAAGATGAATGAATTGGATTGGAGAAAAAAAAAACAATTCATTTGAAATTCATTTGAAAATTCATTTGAAAAAAATTTATTTGAAAAGTTTAAAATGTAAACAAATCTATAAAAAGGAAAGTTTTTTTTTTTTGAAATAACAATCCTAAAAGTAATTTATCATCGAAAAACCCATTGTTCTTTGAATACTTACCAAATCATACGCCTACTTGGTTGTTTGTTCACCTGTCAATTTTTAATACAATGATGTTGGATTATAATGCTTTTATATGCGATACATGTGGTGCATTTTACCTGTCAAATCTATTTCCCAATATTATCGGGGGTTATATAATTATAGAATAATTATAGAAGAACGCACACAAAAAAAAATGCAGCAATGCATTAATACGCAGATGTGAACACCTTTTTATCAGAATTTCGCATATATATTTATGCTAAGTAGCATTTCAGTAAATTATAAATGTAAAAATTTTATGCCGAACAAAAGTTTACTTACAGTAGAAAACAAAAACGGTAACGATGAAAAGTAAATACCAAATACTGAAATAAGATAAAAAGAGGATGGAACAGGTTAAAGAACTTGTTTAATATATATCACGGTATGTATGATGTCATAATTTTTGTTTTGGGCTGAAGAAAAAAAGTGAAAGATTGCTTCGTAAGTACGTACGTACTGTACATACGTAAGTACTGTAACGTACGTATACATACAGTACGTACGTACGTATGCACTTTACTTGATTTACCATAATGATAATTTATATATTTGGTGATATATATATATAATTTTTGATTTTTGGTGATTTAAAAAATTAAATATACGTATAATTATTAAAGTAATGCAAATGTGGCTTCAAATATATATAATCGAAGATATAAAAGAAAAAACATGACAGTTCATTAATTTCAAACACCCCGCCTATAAAAAGTTACCCAAGTCAATTCATATTGTCTTTATCCACATGACTACAAAAGAAAAGAACAATAATGAAACAATTTAATAATTTTAATAATTTTAATAATTTAATTAAATTTTAAGCTCAATAATTTATTTCCAAGAAAGATTAACAAAGATGAAACGAAACAAAGATTCACACATTTAAATATAGAAAATAACGACAAGAACGATCGAGCTAGGTATTTCATAAATATTGTTTTACCATACTAAAAAGCTATTATTGTTTCACAAAAAAAGTGGTAACAATCGTAGTATCGTACAAACAAATATAAGATGAAAAAAAACGAAACTTTAAAGAAATAATATCCAATGAAAACAAATATACGATGAACGACACGTGCTCTCTTTATATAGTAAATTGGCTACACTACGTACTTACATACGCACTTAAAAATCAAAACTTTAAAGGGAATTTTAAACTGGTCTTGTAACTTGGTTATTTTTTTTCGTATCCCGAGCATGTATATTGTATTCGGATAGTTGGAAACTTTAAAGATTTGGCGTTTTTCTAAAAAGAACGTGTGGGGATCTAGGATTTCTTTAAAAACATAGCCCCAGAGATAAATGATTGGATTACACAAACATTCAAGAACAGATAATTAAATGCGGAGTCGAAACCGAAAGTTGTTGCTCTTTACTTAACCAGTGCTATAAAGTTTGGACGAATAGCGAGCGACTTTATAGCAATGGTCTAACTTGTTATATTATTTAAAGTATATTATTAAAGTATTATTTAAAGTGTAAGTTATATTCTTTTTGAATACAATACGTAGTAAAAAAAATTATATATATACAGTATATATATATATATATATATAGTTAAATAATTTATTTTTATACACAGTATCTAATATTTAATATTGAATTGATTGAAACGGCTAGTATTGTAAAGTAACGTAAAGTATTGTAAAGTATTGTAAAGTTATTGTAAAGTTATTGTAATTTTTTACACGCTTTTTACTTTTTACATTTTTTACACTTTTAACACTTTTTTTACACTTTTAACGTTAAACATTAACGTTAAATGATATCCTTAATGATATCAACTAGAAGCTTGTGCAAAAACAAAATCTATACTTTCTATTGTCTTACATTACCGTTATACTTTAATATATAAAGATGTGCACCATTCATGATACGTAAATAAAAGATAGTAGAAAGTAAACAGAATTACAAAACATTGCGTAATGTTCAAATGCCAAAAAGATTTCATACAGGTTTTTCAAAATTCTAAGTTCGATTCTCATAAATTTCCAAAAAGTTCAAAAGATTATAATTTTGTGACATTGTGATATATATACATTTATCAGATATACATTAAAAAAAAACAAATAAATTAGTTTATCCGAAGACAGCCACACTTTTTTTGACCCTTGGCATTACCACCAAAAAATTTCTACCAATTGAAATTTGTGAAAAATAAAGGGTCAAGGTTTCACAATTTCACTATTAAAATTCACTTTAAATTACATGATTGCAGAGTGATACATACCAATTGTTATCTTAATGCTACCAAAAGTTACGAAAAATGAATCAATGCGCTGTGTTACCAATGTACAAAAGAAAATCTTATGCCAGTTTTAAAGTGATTGAGATTGTGATATATCCGGAAATGAGATACATACGTACTAACTGCTAATAAATAAATAGTGGATAATCGAAAAACCGAGTCTAAAAACATATAAAATTTCAATCAAATGAAATATATATAATAATATATACTCGATATACGTACACTAATCGTTATATATATTTTTTTAAAAAGAATTTTATTGCCTAATCTTTCAATCAATCAATACATTTGGTTATTATTAAAAATAAAATATATCACGAATTTATTATCTTGTATTTGTTATCACACATTTGATTACTCATTTTATTATAAATCGTATTACTGAAATCTTTACTCGTCATCATAAAGTCACTTCATTGGCGTGTTGAAATTTAAAGTTTTCAAATACGGAACGGAAAGATTAGTTTTTGATGTGATACAATGACATTTAGATCAGATATTGACCTAGTACAATCAGTTGATACTCGTCTTAAAAAAACTTGTTTTAGAAAAGTGCATAGCGAACGCCTTTATAGATTTTCAAGAAATGGTTTTTTTTTGATCGATCAATCTTGAATCTAAAAAAATTATAAAGAATAAAA